GGGGGTGGGTAAAGAGGTGTGAAAAACTTATTGGCTGCCTACAGCTAATTAAGGTGGATCAATGTCTTTGATGTATACCTAATTTGCAACCTGGGAGTTATGGCATATGCAGGATCAAATTAAAGCCAAATTTAATTAGAAGGGCCTTCAAGGAGCTTGGAATTAGATTAGATGAATCTCCACAGGAATTGGTCTAAAAAAATTATTTTCTTTAAAGGGGGCAGCTTATTAAAAATGAAAGATTCATACAGAAGTGTTAAAATCCAGATCCAAGAAAAATAATTAGCAGAGATGAAGATCATGCAAACCTGAATGGTCCTCCCTGATGGATCTGATGTGCATCTTGGCTCATTCATAAGCTCCCAGGCCATGATTGTTGGGTCATTCTTGTAAAGAACTCTAGTGAAGGTGTTATACCTGTTAAGAACAGTCTGCAGAAAGATACAGATAAATAAGACTACAGCTTACAATCCACATCTCACACAAGGGAAGATTATGGAAATCTTCATCATGAATTTAGCCCCAAGAAACAATGAAAAAAATTGTTGAAATATGAAAGCCAACATGAGCTGCGAAACCCAGATATCCTCTCTCTCTCTCTCTCTCTCTCTCACACACACACACACACACACACAAAGGAACTTAATGAACATATTTTATGCAGTTATACTTACCCGTATATGGTTCTTGTAAAATCCCTTAACAACAGGGTTTCTAAAGAAATCATCATCAGATGTCAAATACTGCCCTTTACTTCTAGCCCAGTTCACATACTGCTTCTTCCCCCCAAAGTTTTCATAATTATTAGCTAAGCTCAACACAAGCTTGATGCCATATCTTCTAGCCTCAGCTATAACAAAATCCAACCCCTTCAAATTGACCAACAAAAAAAGAACAGTCAGAGAAGAAGAAATATAAAAAATAAAATAAAAAACAGATAAATATAGTATATGAATGAGAAAGACCTTGAACATTTGTTCATTGTAAGAGCCTGGAGAATATTGTAAAGGTCTATATCCACCATCACTGAAAGCCCAAGTTCTTGCAACTGTGAGGCCATGGCTTGAAGCTTCTCTGAATGCAGCTGAAACTTTGGGTCTCTGAGATGGGTCTGAAGCCACATACATCAACCAGTAAGCATTGAATCCATTTGCATAGTAAGGACTACCATTCAACATGAAATGAAATCCTCTGGTTCTGATGAAACCATCCCATGCTTCAGTTTGAACAAGAAAGCATTGTTGGTGGAGCAAAAGAGAGAGAGAAAATGCCAATGCCAAAATTTTCATCTCTCACCTCTAAGCCTCTCAATCTTTAGGTGAATACAGAGAAGAAGAAGCTGCTTAAAAGCTGATCAGAAGAAAGTGGGTCTGGTTAAACAGTTTGTCTTTAAGCCTGAAAATGGAGATTCTGTCTTACTATAACTGCAAAAATGGGGATAAGAACAGTAATAATTTTCAGCTGAGATAGATAGAGACTGCAATTGTACAGAAAATGTGGTGATCTGTACCTCGCTTTTTCACTAGAGATAATAACAAAGCAAATTAGGAGGAGAAGGAGAATAATTTGCAATGGGTAAAATGGATGGTTAGGGCCTTAGGTGAGAGACTCGTTTATAAATTGTGGGTCACATTTAATTTTTTTTTCGGATAACGGGGCAAATGTTTGGCCGAACTTAATTGTTCAAGCTCGTGAGTTTAAATAGAACCGATGACAAACCCGAGTATATGAATCAATCGTTCAATTTATATACCAGTTAAATCAGGATTTGTATTTTAGTGAGGATTCAAACTCACGCTAAAAACTTAGATATAGTTCATCTAAGTAACTAAAATTTGTCTTACCAATGAATTACATTTTTTGTCACCTAGAAAATTTGAACCCTTAACCTCATGAAAGCTAAGTTTTCACAATACAAGAGGTACCGTTAAATCAAAAAGTTGTTGATATAAAATATTAAAATTGATCGAAAGTATAATGTAAAAAATCTCAATATCCAATTTGTGATGATAAAATTCTTTTCCCAAATTGGTAAGAAACAATCCTTATCTTGTAAGGTCCAATTAATAAATTGTGAATAACTACCAATCTAAGATATACTACCAAATGATACAATAAAAATAACAATTGAGTAGAGCTTCTACAAGAATAATATGAATGACTATTTTCTATATCATCAATGAAGCTAAAAATTAATAATTTTTATAATATTGGTACCATGTGGGTTGTTAATCGTGTTAGATGAAATGAGTTTGTATTGGGTTTTAACGAGTTCATGTCAAAAAATAATTCATTTATATCCGATTCATTTTTTCATTCGTTTCTAACTAAACTTTGTCATGTCAGGTTCCTGTAATATATAATTTGTATATAATAGGTAAATAAACGAATCATGTTGTATATTTCTTTTGAATTGTTTCATTCATATCCGACTAGTTTATTAATCATGCTAGGTCCACTCGTTTATTAAACAGGTGATTTAAAAAAGACCAAAATTCTCTAATTTCGTATTGTGTTCCTAGACCGTGTGTTTACACTGTAGTAACATGTGACCTTAATTAAACTGTAATTTCANTTTTAATGAGTTCGTGTCAAAAAATAATTCATTTATATCCGATTCATTTTTTCATTCGTTTCTAACTAAACTTTGTCATGTCAGGTTCCTGTGATATATAATTTGTATATAATAGGTAAATAAACGAATCATATTGTATATTTCTTTTGAATTGTTTCATTCATATCCGACTCGTTTATTAATCATGCTATGTCCACTCGTTTATTAAACGGGTGGTTTAAAAAAGACCAAAATTCTCTAATTTCGTATTGTGTTCCTAGACCTAGACCGTGTGTTTACACTGTAGTAACATGTGACCTTAATTAAACTGTAATTTCATAATAACTATATGGTCTTTAAAGAAATGGGTGAAAAAGCAAAAGCATTTCGCCAAAAAAGAAAAAGCACCACCGACACTGTTGGATCCTCTTTAATCTATTTATAAAGGGCATAGTAGAAATGGTTCTAATAAAGGAAATGCAACAGCGCCTCGGCTTCTCTACAACCATTGTTGGCCCCACGGCTATCATCAAAGAGTTCGATACAAATTAATGGATTTCGGTGGAAACTAAATAAATTCATCTAAATTCGTTCATTTAACTCAATTAAACATGATGTGAACCCGAATATAGATAATCTACTTCTAATTCCCAATGACATAGACATGACACAACTTAGGTTCATCATGCAACTAATGGCAAGCACTAGTTCCTTGCGTGGAACTTTTTTTTTTTTAATTTTAACGGTGAAGGGTGTTTAGTTCTTTTTTCGGATTTGATTAAAGACATATCATTCACATCGAAATTAAGGTATTTATGAGGAATAAATTTCTCTTTATTCAAGAGATTGTCAAAATTCAAACTCAAAATTTCTAAACTTATTTGAGTTACTCTTGACATTTGGGTAAAAGTATTCGCGCCACAGAAGCTGTATCTTTTTGGCCGAAAGAATGGAATAAAAAGAAAGCAGTAATTACACCAATCATGTATACCTTTCATTTCAAAATGGTGACCCAGTATCTTTATTTATTTTCTTTGTGTGTGTGTGTGTGTGTGTTGGGGCCCCCCGGGGGTGGGGGTGGGCGGGGTTGTGGTTAAATCTCTTTATTTTCAAAAGATTGGAAGGGGCAGATTAGATCTGTATTTTTAACATTAGTTTGCATCACATTGTAATTATTTTTGATATGATCAAAAAAATTTACTTTTTGAAATCATCTATTTTCAAAAAAAAAAAAAAAAAACCCCATTGAAATCTAGTGAGATCCACTTCGATATTTTTCTTGTTGGTGGATTATGAATTCAAATAAGACTCGTTGTATATTAGTGAGATGCTCACTTATTAATGGTCAATGGTCTGCTAAAAAAAATAAAGAATAAAAATTGTTTCTGTTAGAAAGAATTTAAAGATGGCAATAGATAATAAAGTTAAAAATGGGTAAATTATAATTTTACACCCATAAGGTATACACCTAATTTCTATTTGGTTCTTGAAGTTTCAATTGTAGTGATCAAGTCCTTAGAGTTTTAATTTAGTCTTTAGATCAAAATTCATCAATTTATTATGACAAAGTAGTCTTCTATGTCCAACACATGACTTAGATAAAAAAAAAAATATTTGTCTTGTGTAAAATCTGTTAGGTATAGGCTACAAAAATCTTATTTTATTTTATCTGATTTTAAGGGAAAAAAAAATATAACAAACCCAAATGTGTGTGTAATAAGAATTTGAGAGATATTGTAAGATAAAGAAAAAAATTTCGATATATTTTTTTATACAAATATACTCTTATGAGAAAGTTCTATTATGTCTTTTTGTCGGAACAAATTAATAGTTATGGATGGAAGGATAGAATTAAAATTCAATTAAAAATTAAAAATATAATAATATTAATTAAAATTTTAAGGACCAAATAACAAGTATGTGCATATTTTAAAGCTGAAAATTATAAACCAAAAAAAATGGCTAATTTGATAAGAAATCATGCACCACGCGGCCTAAGGTGGTGGGAGGAGAGATAAAGGAAAAAAAAAGAGGGTTCCCATTTCCCAATCAATCAACCTTGTGAAGGGGGAGCATTACTGGTCCGCCCGTCTCCGTTGTAGGAAGCTACAAGTAATGGTGTACATGTGCGATTGTTATCACGCATATATATTACATTACATACAACGCAACGCAACGCACCCTTTCTCTCTCTCAGTCTCATTCTGATGCCATTCCTCCATTTCTTTCCGATCCTTTATGGGATTGTAACCATCACATGAAATTATACTCGCATCACCCTTCATATTTTGCTTTTATTATCTATCTACCCACTAAGATTTCAAATTGATATATATATATATAGAGAGAGAGAGAGAGAGAGATTTTGACTAATTTTTTTATTTTATTTTTGGCTCAATGATCAAAGTGTCCAAATCAGCTTACGTGCACTTCGACTAATTTTCTCCCTGATCCAATGAAACACAGACTATGCATATTAGGACTAAGATATTCTTGAGAGATAAATCTTTCATGACTTGACTTTAAGAAATTGTCAAAATTCGAACTCAAAATATCTGAATTTATATCTAAAATCTATGTTTTTACCTTCCAACCCACTTTCAATCACTCTAAACACCCCCCTAAGGTCATTTCTATCATCTCGTGGTTGCACTATAACGTGTTCAATTCCTAGTTTTATTCTTCTTCTTCTTTTTTTCGACATTGTCAATATAGGAGATGAGAGATTTTAATCAATCATCACCACAATACAAGTTGGGTGTTTAAAGACCTACGTCCTAACCCTAGTTTTATTCTAACCGTCCAATTTTGGGCTTGATCAAACACAATGATCAAAAAAGGTCCTTTGTCACACATTGAAATTTGATTTTTTATAAAATATTGCTATGACAATTTTGAAATATAAATAGATTTTCATGCAGAGATTCAGATCTGTAGAAATTAATGTAAATGTTGGAGGAGGTCTTCATAATTTCCTCCAACTTTTAGCATGGCTTGTCGCAATATCAACGACAAAATGCTAAGCCTCTTTCACCTTTCTACGTCGTCACGTCATCAATATTACAAGATCTTAGTAAAGTTTATTATTTTAATAATTATTAATAATTTAGTAATTATTATATTAAAATAATAAAGTTTATCAATTAATAATAAAAGTATATTATTTAAATTTAAAATATAAACTTGATCAATCACAACTATTGAATAGATAATAAATTTCAATAAATACTAAGACCTATAAAAAAATTAATGATAATAATTAATTAAGTATACATTTTAAATTTATGTAATATTGTTGTTAATAATACTACGGTTACACCCGATAGTGTGGGGCATATTCATTAATTGGCGGGATCTGCGGAACTAACTTTTTGAGGACATGTGGCNCACATTCTAAATTTATGTAATATTGTTGTTAATAATACTACGGTTACACCCGATAGTGTGGGGGCATATTCATTAATTGGCGGGATCTGCGGAACTAACTTTTTGAGGACATGTGGCATGGTCCTGTCTACTCGTCACAATCACTGATCACAGTTAGGGTCTAATATTGTGGGTCCTGCCATGCGCATTTTAGCATATAACTAACATGCTCATTAATGGGGATAAAACTGTACGGCCTAAATTTATCAACCAAATCTTGGATTAAAAAAAAAAATGATGTGTCCAAATCTTATGCATTTAATATTTTGTGAAATTTATAAATTCTACTAATCCAACCGCTTACATTAATTTGAGATATAAAATTTAGTAAACAATTTAAACAACATAACATTGCTCCGTGTCCTATGTCATATATCCCACCTTCAACTCTTTTTGCGGTATCACCCCCTATCTGAGCCTGTGGTGAAAAAGAATCCAAGAAACAAGCCCAATCNATTATGTGTCCAAATCTTATGCTTTTAATATTTTGTGAAATTTATAAATTCTACTAATCCAACCACTTACATTAATTTGAGATACAAAATTTAGTAAACAATTTAAACAACATAACATTGCTCCATGTCCTATGTCATATATCCCACCTTCAACTCTTTTTGTGGTATCACCCCCTATCTGAGCCTGTGGTGAAAAAGAATCCAAGAAACAAGCCCAATCCAATGTAATAGCCTTTTTATAGTTGTGAATTTTGTCAAATCCATGTTTGTTTGGTTGCGCTCGTTCAATGGGCTGCCATCTTTGTAGCCATCTCTGTGGGACCTACCTGATCAAAAAGAAAAGCCCTTAACGTAGCGGCCCAATCATGCAAAAGCCCAATACGCCATCAGGCTAACAGCCCAGACTTAACCGGCTCAGCCCACGTTTAGGACGTAAACCTGGCCAACCATATTGCCTATGNGCGCTCGTTCAATGGGCTGCCATCTTTGTAGCCAACTCTGTGGGACCTACCTGATCAAAAAGAAAAGCCCTAAACGTAGCGGCCCAATCATGCAAAAGCCCAATACGCCATCAGGCTAACAGCCCAAACTTAACCGGCTCAGCCCACGTTTAGGACGTAAACCTGGCCAACCATATTGCCTATGAGAACAGAAGCAAAGTATCAATGTCTTGGTGCCATGCCATTGGTGGACGACCACCAGCTAGCGTAGCGGGATTTGAATCTCCACCAATTGTCTCAATTTCCTCAATGGTAGGTCACCCGTCACCTCACCTTCATGAATTCAAGTGAGACCCGTTATATCTAAATGGGTCCTCCACAACAACAATGTGGGTGATTTAACATTAAGGCAACCAAAGGAAAAAAAAAATGTATTGAAANAAGCTAGCGTAGAGGGATTTGAATCTCCACCAATTGTCTCAATTTTCTCAATGGTAGGTCACCCGTCACCTCACCTTCATGAATTCAAGTGAGACCCGTTATATCTAAATGGGTCCTCCACAACAACAATGTGGGTGATTTAACATTAAGGCAACCAAAGGAAAAAAAAAATGTATTGAAAGGATTTCAAATCCATTATAGAAGGACGACAATTTCTTAAAAGCTGGGCAACATACCTTTCCCAATCGTCAAACTGAATACCGGTCAATACTCTAGTTCCCCCATAAAAGTTGATTAACAAGTAAAAAACCCAGAATGCAAATATCCCTGCCGAAAAGCCAATAAAAGGGTGCTAGTCCTTCTCCATTATTAATCAAAGCATTTTGAGGCAGTGGATCTGTCCAAACAGCTTCGCAGTTAGCCTTCCCTTGTTGAACCTCATGAAGCCACTAATGATCGTAGTATCTGTTAACAGGTAATAGTCGTGTCCTTATGCCACAAATCTTGATAAACGTCTACCTCTTTTTGGCCTCAGAGGAAACAAGGGAACGACCACTCCTGATAATTTTATTTGAGTAGAGGCATTGAGCACCACTTATCACATGCACCCCCCATTCTGCAGTATCACATCTAAATTCAATACCATTATATACTGAAAAGAAGTGGAAGCTGTGTGACACCCAGAAAAATGCCATTATATGTAAAATTAGCAAGCTAAATCATTATAGCTTTCCCACCCATGACAGGTCTCCCAAGAAATGGTCCCAATCACAGGCTCAACATAGGGGGGACTTACCGAAAAGAAAAATGGGGGGGAGCGTAGACCATTACGACAACTCCTGATTCTGCTACATAGAAGATTCATCAAAACTTTCATAATTCCCCACTCGAGCACTACACAGGAAAACGTCATTGCATGGCCACCAATTCCTGCTTTGTGAATTTGCCATTACGAAAGCATCTTCACTTCCTTTTAACCAAGTTGCAAATGGAATTCTGCATCATAAAGCTTGGATTTGTCCCCCATAGCCATAGTACTTCAGAAGCCCCTCATTTTGCCTCCAATTCTCTTTTATCTTCACTTCAATCTGTTCAAGCAGCAAGTTGCCTTGAGGATATTATTTTCCAACCCAAATTATGACTACTAGGTAAAATTATTCAAAAAACACTTCAAAAAAAAAAAACACCAAACAGCCCTAACACTCCTCTTGATGGTAAGTGTTGCAAGACTTCAGGGAGGTATGAGAAGGTAAATTTTAGTTGCCATATACTTCTTGTTATGAAGGCTGTAAGGAGATTCTCAGTAAATTGGTACCTCCAAGAAAACTTTCTTCTGCAAGAAATCTTCAATGTCAAGCCTAGCCGCCGTTGCAAGTAATTTCAAAGCTCTCCCTTCCTGCAGTAATTCAGAAATCAGACAAGCCACTCATGTAATCTCACAACTTATCCATCCTGTCTTGCAGCATTCTTTGTAATTTCAAAATCTTGTCTACAGTGCATTTTGGTATGAAAAACAAATAAAACAACCATGACCCCCACAGGAATAAAAAGGATTCTTTTGTTTCAGAACACGGACATAGAAGTGTTAGTTTTCAAAACAGGCCCTTCCAGGAAATTCATTTGGTTGCAAATTTATTTAAGTTTCTTGCACAGCAACCATACAAATGAATAAACAATAAACGATATAAGCAACAGCCAAACAATAACATCATTGATGGCCCATGTCTTTCACCACGTGTGGATCAATGTTTATGATAAGGTTTGTACAAAACAGACGGCCTTTTTCTACCTAGAAGCATTGTGTCTGACGCCAGACACCCGCCTAGGTTGGAGCAGGTCCGGAGAGCCTTGAGTGACATAGCTTCCTATGGTTATTAAAGCAACACAGTTGATTGTCAACTTATGGGATGACTTAAGGGCCTCAGCCTGGCGGTTGAGTAGAGGCACTCTGTGAATAGTGCCCCCCAGCACTTCCACTTCCCTAAGACAAGCTGAGTTCTTCACTCTCTCCCGGACAACTGCTACCTAAGCCTAATGCAAAAAATAATCTAGTAGAGCTAGGTGGATTCAATAACTTATATATGTATTTAAGTATTCTCTAAAATTCAACAATGAAGAATTCACATAAAGCCTTTGAAGCCTGTCTGTGCTGCTACAAGCAACCTTACCTGATGGGGTGATTCATAGGAAATTATAGGTGGAATTTTTAGATTCTCATTCTTTGTTTTTTATTCCACTCTTTCACATCCTTAAAAAGTACAAACTCTAATTTAAAAAGCCCAAGCCTTTTCTTCCATCAAACCATAGCCCCAAAGTAGCAGAGAATTATCCCAATAATGTTCATAGATACTCATCCAGAACAGCGCCCAAAACCCCCTTCTTACTTTACTCAATCAATCCCTAGTCAACTCTAACCTCTTACTCTATCCACGGTAGCAAAACTTAACACTAGGAGCTTTCCACAATCCCTAACTCTTGAGGCAATATTACCCCATTCCCCAACCCGCAATATTCTTCTTCTCCATCCTTTTTGGTTTGGACTTTTGTCCTCATTCCAATTTGACTGGAACCAAGATCCTGGTAAAGAACTTTTTTGGCCTAAACCCCTGTATCGGATNAAGGCAATATTACCCCATTCCCCAACCCGCAATATTCTTCTTCTCCATCCTTTTTGGTTTGGACTTTTGTCCTCATTCCAATGTGACTGGAACCAAGATCCTGGTAAAGAACTTTTTTGGCCTAAACCCCTGTATCGGATACCTCCCGCCCCTTTCCTACCTCTCGTAATATCACCAAAAACTTCTAGTAGAAGAAAAGGCACTTGTCTGGCTGTCTCATCCCACCATGTTGTCTAGGCAAACACACAGGTCTCTCGAAAATGATTGTTCGATTGGAATACCGAAAAAACAAACACTTGCCTTGCCAATGAGGATAATCTTCTGTGTGATTTTCTCAACAATAATCTCAACTTGAATGAAATCTTTTGCATTTGGCCTGGTTTTGTAGCTTACCACATTAACCTGCAGGATTCAAATATTCCAAAACCATTATTCTCCATTTACTCTTTCTGTCACTTATAAAGGCTTTCTGGAAGAAACACAGTGAAAACAACAAAAATCAACAATAAGAACACTAAAGACGATAGCTATGTTTGCAAGTCAAAAGACATTGAATGTAATGAAGCATAATAGTACTAGCAATAACCTCGTGCTTGAAGACACTCTGCAATAGTAAAAATCAAACAAATACAACATTCATATTTAAATAGCAACTTATTTAAATTAAAATGGACAAAGAAAAAATAAGAGAGAGGTAGGTGTGGATTAGTTCATTGGGGTGTGTGTTGGTTGAGTTGTCCGGGGCAGCGCAGAGAAGATGATGTTTATAGAAGAGAATTTTTTTTTTGGAATGAATGTTTTACCATTGGATGAAATTAGATGAAGGTTGGATTACTCCCAACTGTTGTTATGTTTTTCTAAATGTGCAGTTCAAATTACTAGCTGTGATATTATACAGATACCTGACATGCATAAGGAACTTCGTTACGGTATTGCATAAAGATCTTTTCTCTGACGATCTCAGCCACGAAAAATCGTTCTGGGTGCTCACTAGCAATGTCCTGATACATAAGGTTTCAAAATGGTCAATTTCCACATGCAATTAGTGCCTTTGCCAAATGTCTAATCAAATCCCCAAAACTAATTGCATCAACTCTGTCACCAATTTCAAACCTTGACAATCCATGACAGTTCACAGCTCATTCCTCAGTACACGCANGGTGCCTTTGCCAAATGTCTAATCAAATCCCCAAAACTAATTGCATCAACTCTGTCGCCAATTTCAAACCTTGACAATCCATGACAGTTCACAGCTCATTCCTCAGTACACGCAGAATAATTTATTCAAGAACACATGTTAAAGGCTTACAGATAATAACCACATCCATCCTTACAAGGCTTGTGAGCCATGCCATGTAAATTCAGATAGCGTGAACTTGTGTTTGCCTACAACGTGTGGTAAAATGCTTTCATACATTGAATCATAATAGTTCACAGTATCGACAAAATACTTGCCGATCTATACTATTTATAAATGTCAGCATTTATAAAAAAATTTTGATTTCTTATTTTGTGCCTAATTATTATTTTAAAGTCAATGATACCCACATATTATTTTTATCCAATTTTTATTTCATTTGACTTCTAAGTTCTTTTGGACTCTTTTATTAATTGTATTTGACTTCTAAATTTTTTTGGACTCATTTATTAATAGTACAATTGCATACGGTTTTTTATATCTATGCCTATATTTATATAAAGAAATAAAGTCCAATCTATATTCTATTACTATATACATATAGTTGTCGAATTGGATTCTACGATCAAATATATGTTATATTTAATTTTTTAGTATGTAAAAATATCAAATTATTATAATACAAATAATAGTATTACAATTTAATTAATTTCTTTGACAAAAAATATCATATTATTATAATATAAACGATAGTATTATAATTTAATCAATTTCTTTGACAAAAAATATAACAATCTATAATATAATTAGATGTGAAAATACTCAATAAAGACAATCTTACAATAAAACTTTATTATAAAATAAAAGAGAAAATGTGTAATGGGTCGAATTAAATACTCAAAGAGAGGGAGAATAGATTAATAATTAGGTTTAGCAATAATTAAAATTAAAATTACTTATTCCACACATAATTTGTCATTCAATTTAATATATTTAATTAAAATTTCTTATGAAAAAAATATTATTTAAATATATTCTCATGCAATTGCACATCATGCATTACTAGCACATTTTTTTAAATTTATATAATGCAAGACTGCAGTACATTTCTCTATGCACCGTAAAAACTACAAACNTATATTTGTCTTGTGTAAAATCTGTTAGGTATAGGCTACAAAAATCTTATTTTATTTTATCTGATTTTAAGGGAAAAAAAAAATATAACAAACCCAAATGTGTGTGTGTAATAAGAATTTGAGAGATATTGTAAGATAAAGAAAAAAATATCGATATATTTTTTTATACAAATATACTCTTATGAGAAAGTTCTATTATGTTTTTTTGTCGGAACAAATTAATAGTTATGGATGGAAGGATAGAATTAAAATTCAATTAAAAATTTAAAAATATAATAATATTAATTAAAATTTTAAGGACCAAATAACAAGTATGTGCATATTTTAAAGCTGAAAATTATAAATTTCCCCTAAAAAAATGGCTAATTTGATAAGAAATCATGCACCACGCGGCCTAAGGTGGTGGGAGGAGAGATAAAGGAAAAAAAAGAGGGTTCCCATTTCCCAATCAATCAACCTTGTGAAGGGGGAGCATTACTGGTCCGCCCGTCTCCGTTGTAGGAAGCTACAAGTAATGGTGTACATGTGCAATTGTTATCACGCATATATATTACATTACATACAACGCAACGCACCCTTTCTCTCTCTCAGTCTCATTCTGATGCCATTCCTCCATTTCTTTCCGATCCTTTATGGGACCCTCTCAGATATGATTGTAACCATCACATGAAATTATACTCGCATCACCCTTCATATTTTGCTTTTATTATCTATCTACCCACTAAGATTTCAAAATGATATATATATATATATATATATATATATAGAGAGAGAGAGAGAGAGAGAGAGATTTTGACTAATTTTTTTATTTTATTTTTGGCTCAATGGTCAAAGTGTCCAAGCCAGTTTACGTGCACTTCGATTAATTTTTACCCTGATCCAATGAAACATAGACCATGCATATTAGGACTAAGATATTCTTGACAGATAAATCTCTCATGACTTGACTTTAAGGAATTGTCAAAATTCGAACTCAAAATATCTGAGTTTATATCTAAAATTTATGTTTTTACCTTCCAACCCTCTTTCAATCACTCTAAACACCCCCCAGAGGTCATTTCTATCATCTCGTGGTTGCACTATAACATGTTCAATTCCTAGTTTTATTCTTCTTCTTTTTTTCGACATTGTCAATATAGGAGAGGAGAGATTTTAATCAATCATCACCACAATACAAGTTGGGTGTTTAAAGACCTACGTCCTAACCCTAGTTTTATTCTAACCGTCCAATTTTGGGCTTGATCAAACACAATGATCAAAAAAGGTCCTTTGTCACACATTGAAATTTGATTTTTTATAAAATATTGCTATGACAATTTTGAAATATAAATAGATTTTCATGCAGAGATTCAGATCTGTAGAAATTAATGTAAATGTTGGAGGAGGTCTTCATAATTTCCTCCAACTTTTAGCATGGCTTGTCGCAATATCAACGACAAAATGCTAAGCCTCTTTCACCTTTCTACGTCGTCACGTCATCAATATTACAAGATCTTAGTAAAGTTTATTATTTTAATAATTATTAATAATTTAGTAATTATTATATTAAAATAATAAAGTTTATCAATTAATAATAAAAGTATATTATTTAAATTTAAAATATAAACTTGATCAATCACAACTATTGAATAGATAATAAATTTCAATAAATACTAAGACCTATAAAAAAATTAATGATAATAATTAATTAAGTATACATTTTAAATTTATGTAATATTGTTGTTAATAATACTACGGTTACACCCGATAGTGTGGGGCATATTCATTAATTGGCGGGATCTGCGGAACTAACTTTTTGAGGACATGTGGCATGGTCCTGTCTACTCGTCACAATCACTGATCACAGTTAGGGTCTAATATTGTGGGTCCTGCCATGCGCATTTTAGCATATAACTAACATGCTCATTAATGGGGATAAAACTGTACGGCCTAAATTTATCAACCAAATCTTGGATTAAAAAAAAAAATGATGTGTCCAAATCTTATGCATTTAATATTTTGTGAAATTTATAAATTCTACTAATCCAACCGCTTACATTAATTTGAGATATAAAATTTAGTAAACAATTTAAACAACATAACATTGCTCCATGTCCTATGTCATATATCCCACCTTCAACTCTTTTTGTGGTATCACCCCCTATCTGAGCCTGTGGTGAAAAAGAATCCAAGAAACAAGCCCAATCCAATGTAATAGCCTTTTTATAGTTGCGCTCGTTCAATGGGCTGCCATCTTTGTAGCCAACTCTGTGGGACCTACCTGATCAAAAAGAAAAGCCCTAAACGTAGCGGCCCAATCATGCAAAAGCCCAATACGCCATCAGGCTAACAGCCCAAACTTAACCGGCTCAGCCCACGTTTAGGACGTAAACCTGGCCAACCATATTGCCTATGAGAACAGAAGCAAAGTATCAATGTCTTGGTGCCATGCCATTGGTGGACGACCACAAGCTAGCGTAGAGGGATTTGAATCTCCACCAATTGTCTCAATTTTCTCAATGGTAGGTCACCCGTCACCTCACCTTCATGAATTCAAGTGAGACCCGTTATATCTAAATGGGTCCTCCACAACAACAATGTGGGTGATTTAACATTAAGGCAACCAAAGGAAAAAAAAAATGTATTGAAAGGATTTCAAATCCATTATAGAAGGACGACAATTTCTTAAAAGCTGGGCAACATACCTTTCCCAATCGTCAAACTGAATACCGGTCAATACTCTAGTTCCCCCATAAAAGTTGATTAACAAGTAAAAAACCCAGAATGCAAATATCCCTGCCAAAAAGCCAATAAAAGGGTGCTAGTCCTTCTCCATTATTAATCAAAGCATTTTGAGGCAGTGGATCTGTCCAAACAGCTTCGCAGTTAGCCTTCCCTTGTTGAACCTCATGAAGCCACTAATGATCGTAGTATCTGTTAACAGGCAATAGTCGTGTCCTTATGCCACAAATCTTGATAAACGTCTACCTCTTTTTGGCCTCAGAGGAAACAAGGGAACGACCACTCCTGATAATTTTATTTGAGTAGAGGCATTGAGCACCACTTATCACATGCACCCCCCATTCTGCAGTATCACATCTAAATTCAATACCATTATATACTGAAAAGAAGTGGAAGCTGTGTGACACCCAGAAAAATGCCATTATATGTAAAATTAGCAAGCTAAATCATTATAGCTTTCCCACCCATGACAGGTCTCCCAAGAAATGGTCCCAATCACAGGCTCAACATAGGGGGGACTTCCCGAAAAGAAAAATGGGGGGGAGCGTAGACCATTACGACAACTCCTGATTCTGCTACATAGAAGATTCATCAAAACTTTCATAATTCCCCACTCGAGCACTACACAGGAAAACGTCATTGCATGGCCACCAATTCCTGCTTTGTGAATTTGCCATTACGAAAGCATCTTCACTTCCTTTTAACCAAGTTGCAAATGGAATTCTGCATCATAAAGCTTGGATTTGTCCCCCATAGCCATAGTACTTCAGAAGCCCCTCATTTTGCCTCCAATTCTCTTTTATCTTCACTTCAATCTGTTCAAGCAGCAAGTTGCCTTGAGGATATTATTTTCCAACCCAAATTATGACTACTAGGTAAAATTATTCAAAAAACACTTCAAAAAAAAAAAACACCAAACAGCCCTAACACTCCTCTTGATGGTAAGTGTTGCAAGACTTCAGGGAGGTATGAGAAGGTAAATCTTAGTTGCCATATACTTCTTGTTATGAAGGCTGTAAGGAGATTCTCAGTAAATTGGTACCTCCAAGAAAACTTTCTTCTGCAAGAAATCTTCAATGTCAAGCCTAGCCGCCGTTGCAAGTAATTTCAAAGCTCTCCCTTCCTGCAGTAATTCAGAAATCAGACAAGCCACTCATGTAATCTCACAACTTATCCATCCTGTCTTGCAGCATTCTTTGTAATTTCAAAATCTTGTCTACAGTGCATTTTGGTATGAAAAACATATAAAACAACCATGACCCCCACAGGAATAAAAAGGATTCTTTTGTTTCAGAACACGGACATAGAAGTGTTAGTTTTCAAAACAGGCCCTTCCAGGAAATTCATTTGGTTGCAAATTTATTTAAGTTTCTTGCACAGCAACCATACAAATGAATAAACAATAAACGATATAAGCAACAGCCAAACAATAACATCATTGATGGCCCATGTCTTTCACCACGTGTGGATCAATGTTTATGATAAGGTTTGTACAAAACAGACGGCCTTTTTCTACCTAGAAGCATTGTGTCTGACGCCAGACACCCGCCTAGGTTGGAGCAGGTCCGGAGAGCCTTGAGTGACATAGCTTCCTATGGTTATTAAAGCAACACAGTTGATTGTCAACTTATGGGATGACTTAAGGGCCTCAGCCTGGCGGTTGAGTAGAGGCACTCTGTGAATAGTGCCCCCCAGCACTTCCACTTCCCTAAGACAAGCTGAGTTCTTCACTCTCTCCCGGACAACTGCTACCTAAGCCTAATGCAAAAAATAATCTAGTAGAGCTACGTGGATTCAATAACTTATATATGTATTTAAGTATTCTCTAAAATTCAACAATGAAGAATTCACATAAAGCCTTTGAAGCCTGTCTGTGCTGCTACAAGCAACCTTACCTGATGGGGTGATTCATAGGAAATTATAGGTGGAATTTTTAGATTCTCATTCTTTGTTTTTTATTCCACTCTTTCACATCCTTAAAAAGTACAAACTCTAATTTAAAAAGCCCAAGCCTTTTCTTCCATCAAACCATAGCCCCAAAGTAGCAGAGAATTATCCCAATAATGTTCATAGATACTCATCCAGAACAGCGCCCAAAACCCCCTTCTTACTTTGCTCAATCAATCCCTAGTCAACTCTAACCTCTTACTCTATCCACGGTAGCAAAACTTAACACTAGGAGCTTTCCACAATCCCTAACTCTTAAGGCAATATTACCCCATTCCCCAACCCGCAATATTCTTCTTCTCCATCCTTTTTGGTTTGGACTTTTGTCCTCATTCCAATGTGACTGGAACCAAGATCCTGGTAAAGAACTTTTTTGGCCTAAACCCCTGTATCGGATACCTCCCGCCCCTTTCCTACCTCTCGTAATATCACCAAAAACTTCTAGTAGAAGAAAAGGCACTTGTCTGGCTGTCTCATCCCACCATGTTGTCTAGGCAAACACACAGGTCTCTCGAAAATGATTGTTCGATTGGAATACCGAAAAAACAAACACTTGCCTTGCCAATGAGGATAATCTTCTGTGTGATTTTCTCAACAATAATCTCAACTTGAATGAAATCTTTTGCATTTGGCCTGGTTTTGTAGCTTACCACATTAACCTGCAGGATTCAAATATTCCAAAACCATTATTCTCCATTTACTCTTTCTGTCACTTATAAAGGCTTTCTGGAAGAAACACAGTGAAAACAACAAAAATCAACAATAAGAACACTAAAGACGATAGCTATGTTTGCAAGTCAAAAGACATTGAATGTAATGAAGCATAATAGTACTAGCAATAACCTCGTGCTTGAAGACACTCTGCAATAGTAAAAATCAAACAAATACAACATTCATATTTAAATAGCAACTTATTTAAATTAAAATGGACAAAGAAAAAATAAGAGAGAGGTAGGTGTGGATTAGTTCATTGGGGTGTGTGTTGGTTGAGTTGTCCGGGGCAGCGTAGAGAAGATGATGTTTATAGAAGAGAATTTTTTTTTTGGAATGAATGTTTTACCATTGGATGAAATTAGATGAAGGTTGGATTACTCCCAACTGTTGTTATGTTTTTCTAAATGTGCAGTTCAAATTACTAGCTGTGATATTATACAGATACCTGACATGCATAAGGAACTTCGTTACGGTATTGCATAAAGATCTTTTCTCTGACGATCTCAGCCACGAAAAATCGTTCTGGGTGCTCACTAGCAATGTCCTGATACATAAGGTTTCAAAATGGTCAATTTCCACATGCAATTGGTGCCTTTGCCAAATGTCTAATCAAATCCCCAAAACTAATTGCATCAACTCTGTCGCCAATTTCAAACCTTGACAATCCATGACAGTTCACAGCTCATTCCTCAGTACACGCAGAATAATTTATTCAAGAACACATGTTAAAGGCTTACAGATAATAACCACATCCATCCTTACAAGGCTTGTGAGCCATGCCATGTAAATTCAGATAGCGTGAACTTGTGTTTGCCTACAACGTGTGGTAAAATGCTTTCATACATTGAATCATAATAGTTCACAGTATCGACAAAATACTTGCCGATCTATACTATTTATAAATGTCAGCATTTATAAAAAAATTTTGATTTCTTATTTTGTGCCTAATTATTATTTTAAAGTCAATGATACCCACATATTATTTTTATCCAATTTTTATTTCATTTGACTTCTAAGTTCTTTTGGACTCTTTTATTAATTGTATTTGACTTCTAAATTTTTTTGGACTCATTTATTAATAGTACAATTGCATACGGTTTTTTATATCTATGCCTATATTTATATAAAGAAATAAAGTCCAATCTATATTCTATTACTATATACATATAGTTGTCGAATTGGATTCTACGATCAAATATATGTTATATTTAATTTTTTAGTATGTAAAAATATCAAATTATTATAATACAAATAATAGTATTACAATTTAATTAATTTCTTTGACAAAAAATATCATATTATTATAATATAAACGATAGTATTATAATTTAATCAATTTCTTTGACAAAAAATATAACAATCTATAATATAATTAGATGTGAAAATACTCAATAAAGACAATCTTACAATAAAACTTTATTATAAAATAAAAGAGAAAATGTGTAATGGGTCGAATTAAATACTCAAAGAGAGGGAGAATAGATTAATAATTAGGTTTAGCAATAATTAAAATTAAAATTACTTATTCCACACATAATTTGTCATTCAATTTAATATATTTAATTAAAATTTCTTATGAAAAAAATATTATTTAAATATATTCTCATGCAATTGCACATCATGCATTACTAGCACATTTTTTTAAATTTATATAATGCAAGACTGCAGTACATTTCTCTATGCACCGTAAAAACTACAAACTTTTCTATTATGCAACAATTAAATCACAAGGGGTCAACAGAAATTTGTCAGGTAATTTTAAGTTGTCCCAGAGTTCAAGTAATTGTTGCCACTGTCACTTCACTCTTGCTTTTGCCAAGTCATATAATCACATACTTTATTGGAAATCTTATGAAGGCTGTCATTTGAATAGCTAATCTAGAACAGTGCATGAGCATAAGAATAAATTGAAAAAAAATAAAAAAAGGGGCTTGAATGATCCATAAGACAATGGCCAGTTGACTTAGATGGAAGGAATTTGGCTATTTAATCCAAATTCAAGAAATACAGTAAATGTTCTGCCAAATCTATTTCGTACAATAAATTTGCCAAAAAAAAAAATCAGCAATCAACCAATCCAATGCTAGCCATCTTAGACATATGAGAATTAGGTTAATTTGAAAGAAGTACTTATATGAACTGATAAGACTTATTGCCACTATTCAGCAGAATGCCAGATGTTTAACACTAGCATAGCTTGCTTTTTTAGGGCATTTAGAGCCACAAACGTAGAAGACAACTTAAATGTCACCGTTTGAGTGTCAACTTCTTCCCCTTTACTTAGCTGACTTCAAACAGACTGCTACATAGCTAAAATGGAATGATAATTGCTCGGGATGATAAGACAGAAGGGTTATAAATGCTTTCTGTATTTGTTGTTTGAAGGGATAACAAAGCTAATGAAAGAACAAAAACTTGTGCCACATACCTTAGGATAATACGCTGGCCCATGAGGAAGTTTTGATAGTATCCAGTCCTTGACATCATCCACTCCATGCCCATATTTGGCACTCACAGGTATGACTTCATCAACACCAGTATGTTTTTCATACCACTGCAAGGAACCGGATATTGAGCTACGATAAAGCTACTGCATCTTGAGGACCAAAGACGATACAGAATAGGGGGTATGAAACTGAATCAACTGACAGTTTGATGGATTGTAATTACTAAAGAGAACACAAGAAGGCCAACTCAATCCCTATAAATTTTAGTCAAATAGGTTGTGGCACATCAAGACAGTTCATTTNACTAATTTTTTTATTTTATTTTTGGCTCAATGGTCAAAGTGTCCAAGCCAGTTTACGTGCACTTCGATTAATTTTTACCCTGATCCAATGAAACATAGACCATGCATATTAGGACTAAGATATTCTTGACAGATAAATCTCTCATGACTTGACTTTAAGGAATTGTCAAAATTCGAACTCAAAATATCTGAGTTTATATCTAAAATTTATGTTTTTACCTTCCAACCCTCTTTCAATCACTCTAAACACCCCCCAGAGGTCATTTCTATCATCTCGTGGTTGCACTATAACATGTTCAATTCCTAGTTTTATTCTTCTTCTTTTTTTCGACATTGTCAATATAGGAGAGGAGAGATTTTAATCAATCATCACCACAATACAAGTTGGGTGTTTAAAGACCTACGTCCTAACCCTAGTTTTATTCTAACCGTCCAATTTTGGGCTTGATCAAACACAATGATCAAAAAAGGTCCTTTGTCACACATTGAAATTTGATTTTTTATAAAATATTGCTNATATGTCCCTGCAAGCCATCAATTTAAACTATGCAATTAAGTCCAGTCGTCCACCTTTGGCACATTATTCTCAACTAGATGCATTATTCAACAGGTCATAACCAAATACATATCTCACACTGCCACAAAAAACTAATGGATTCATTTCATAAGATCCACCATAGGATTGACTTTGGATAGCTGGCAATAACTGGAAAGTTATTGGGTTTTGTTATTACAAGAGATGGAATCACAGTTGACCCACCCAATATGAAAGCCATCCTTGAAATGAAACCACCAACTAACCTCCGCGGGAACTCAAACAGCTACAAGGGACGCCACTGATCTGAGAGCATATAAATAATTTTGAGGAACAAAAAGGTTACTTTTGTTTCCATCAGTGAATAACCGTACAACATCATGGTAGACAAACGGTAACTATTCATGCCACAAAAATTGGACATTGAGATGTTCTAACCTCAAGTTTCTTTGCAATTTCACCAGGTTTGATGAGGTCCTTCTTATTCAAAACCAGCAAGGTGGGTAACTTATCTGTGACATCTCCTACACCCTCTTCCAACACTTCATCAATCTAAGGAAGAAAANTTATGTCCCTGCAAGCCATCAATTTAAACTATGCAATTAAGTCCAGTCGTCCACCTTTGGACATTGAGATGTTCTAACCTCAAGTTTCTTTGCAATTTCACCAGGTTTGATGAGGTCCTTCTTATTCAAAACCAGCAAGGTGGGTAACTTATCTGTGACATCTCCTACACCCTCTTCCAACACTTCATCAATCTAAGGAAGAAAAATATTAGCAAAAGGAAATATAGTTTTGCAAACAAATTCACAAATGAAGAACATACCTTTTGGGGCACCTTACTCGCATCAACAACAACGAGTACGCAATCTGCATTAATGGCAGCGCTGCGGACATTCTTCATCATCATGGAATCCAACTTGTGCATCTTCTTCTCAATAACACCAGGGGTGTCATAAAGTATCATCTGCAAGCAAACCCACAGCTAAGGTTATGACTTCGAACATCAAAAGATACTATCATTTTTCCTCATATATACAAAGCACAAAGGATAACAACATTGTTAACATCAAGATTAAGTCACACGTGATCATGTAACAGGCACACTTATAAACTGCAAAGAGATGCACATTTGAGAGAACCCCAAAAGAAATGGACCTATTTGCATAGTCTATCAAACGTACAAGAATTTACCCCTTGTACCAATTTTCATCATAGAAATTCCCAAAAAATGTTGAAAACAAGTTCTCAGCAAGCATAAAGGTATGGTTCTTCTAAAAATTTATGAGGAGCAACGAGCGTCTCAACTTGTAGCTGTGATTTGATCGTACACCTTGAACATTTTAAATTTCTTCTTCATTTCTCTCATTTCATTTAGCAAGCTCTTAAATCCATTCATACTATGTGTTAATAGGACAATTATAAAGTAAAATCTGTACATAGCAAGCTACAAATTCCATACGTTCCTATGACTGGTAGATACGTAGTTCATCAGTGGTTGGGAAATGGAAGCTGTTTGATTTTAAAATCATTATGCGCAGATTAAATAATTCAATTTTCTCGTCTGTCTATTGTTGCATTGACAAGTTTAAGAGCAAAAATAACGCTCTCATGCTACAATGTCCATTTTGTCATATGGAACCCAACACATGCCAGGGAAGTTTCTTGAAACAAAGCTAATACTGAAAGAACAACAGATCATGATCGCGGGTCATGCACGCTTCAATGCAAATTAATTGAGAGGAAGGACCAAATGGATTTTAAAACCCAGTCGCATTAGGAAGTGATCAATGGTCAACGAAGTAAGATAGATGATTAGGATCATCTCACAAGACAGATAATACAGAAGAAATGCTGCTGACTTCAAACTCAGACAATTTCACTCCTCATAAATTTCTCTAATTTTCCATGTAGAATTCACGTTTGGCCGCATCAGATGATTCCGGATTTGAATTCAGACGCTACTTGTCATTTTCTATTGAGAAATAATGAACTATGAATGCAGGTAAGCAAAATTAAGCACGTGCACATTAAAAATAGGAAATATCAAACCTGATACTCTGGGCCAGAACATATACCAAGAATTCGATGCCTCGTGGTTTGAGGTTTATCTGTAACGATCGAGAGCTTTTGCCCAATCATTTGGTTTGAGAGTGTACTCTTTCCAACATTTGGCTTGCCGAGCACAGCCACATATCCTGCATTTGCCAAATCCAATTCAGAAGTTACTTTTCCAAATAGTAAATAACATATCCAAATATCAAGATGAAAAAAATAACAACATACAAAATCTTAATTTCTTTGCTTATGATCTCATTTTACTCCCTTTCTTTTTCGGGTTAGTTATCTTTTGAAGTTGGAAGCACATATGCCAGACAGTATTGTAAATAAAACACATTCCAGAAAGTGCAAAAACATTACGGCATAAGCATATATGTTTGCAGAACAACATAAAAATGGGGAAAAAACAAAACAAGTGGCATCTGTTTCACCTCTTAGAACACAATGGTTCACACTTCGATATCAAGTTTATTCGTATGTGTTTCGTATCAGAATACATTAGTAATGAAAACTATCCCATCATACAAACTTTCAAATCACTCCAAGGAACCAGAATCCCCATCTATAGAACAATGAAAACTAAACTGCCACAGATGTTACTTATCCACACATACAAAAATGTGCCAAAAGTATAATAACTACTTTCTCACCCTTTTTTTTTTTTTTTTTGGGGGGGGGGGGGGGGGGGGGGGGGAGAAA